TGCTTGACTCAGGGAGGCAGAGGTTGCAGTGAGCCAAGATCCGTGCCACTGCACTCCAGCCTGGGCAACAAGAGCAAAACTCCATCTAAAATAAAATAAAATAAAATAAAATAAAATAAAAGCAGAATCCCAAGCACCACCCTAGATTTACTGAATCAGAAGTGCATTTTAACAAGATCTCCAACATGATTCGTGTGCACACTGAAGTTTGAGAAGCACTGTTCTGCAACACCGCCAGCAATATACACTATAGGCAGAGAAGAGGGCAAGACTGTCTAGAACCAGGGATTCTCAAACATGTTCCCTTGGGAATCAGTAACGAGCTATAAGAAAGTATGTTTGGTTGTTAAATTTGATAATGGTGACTTTTCCCAATTCATAGAAAAAAAATTAGGTTAATGGGTTGTATTTTTCATCTTTTCTTCCATAATTTTTCCTCTCTTTTTTTGGAGCGAAATATTACCTACCTGCTGGTAACTTTAGAAGATGATAGTGACCGAACAAGTAGTAAAGAAATACTTATATTTCTCAATATAATTTCTCAATATAATAAAACTCAATAATATATAATTGTTTTATTTCTTTCTTCAATTTGTAGATCTTTTGAATTCTTGGATTTGTGATTCTGATTTTATGTTGCATAATAGAAAATAGTCACACTTTTTCTTAGTAAACTGTTCTTAAAGCATATGGAAGAATTAAGTGTTAATGTTTTATGGTGTTCTAAAAAAAGTACTTGATTTCCACCTACATGAACAGGAAGATCAAGGCTTCAGAATCTCTCTAGAAATCATCAAACCAAGAGGAACTTGTAATAGAAAAGTAAAGTTAGAAAGAATATTTCTCACCTATCCCGTTTCCTCCAATGACAACATTAATGGATACCAATATAACCTACTGTTTTTTTCTGGATAGTAAAAGTTTAAGTGGTTTTACTTTCTCTTTTGTGATTTCCTGAATGTTGAAAAATGTCGGCTGAGTGTGGTGGCTCACACCTGTAATCCCAGTACTTTAGGAAGCCAAGGCAGGTGTGTATCACTTGAGTCCAGGAGTTCGAGATCAGTCTGGACAACATGGCAAACCCCAAAACCCTGTCTCACCTTAATCAATCGATCAATCTACAGTGAACATTCATTCACTCGACAAATATCTAACGAATACCTACTAAGTGACAGGCACTGTTCTAGGTCCTGGAGATACAGCAGTGAAACAAACAGGCAGACAAAAATCTCGGTTCTGATGTCAGTATCTTTGGGTCTCTTTCCTCTTGGGCTGCTCATATTCCTTCATGAAGACACTTTTAGTTTTCTCTTTGGAGGGTAAGCAGCTGGTAGCCAAAGATCCATGAATTGAATGAAGAGGGCATCCAATATCCATACATTCACTTATGTCCCTGTTTATACAGAGAGCTATTTAACCCTCTCTGGAGAATAAATACTTCAGTCTTGTTTTTCGGAGGGTAGGGTGGAAGTTGAAGATGAGGAAGTGACCTCAGGATTTAACTGCTCTTAAACAACTCTACTTCCACAGTAGGCAGTGGGGGAACTATTGCCACCAGTTTCTAAGACTTAGGGAATCCTTCAATAGATATCAGGTCGGATCTCAACTTTACTTCTTTGGGTTTAGGATTCAGGTTTCTTAGTTAAAACTTGCCCATTTGCTTTCCATCTTCCACGTTCTTTTTTGCTACCGACTCCTCTCATTATTCTGGCTTTGTGCCTGAAAAAAATCCCATTACTGTCATTTTAATGGTGTCATAGAAGAGAACAAAAGTAGATCTGTGTGTTCATCTTCATTAATTGTTTAACTCTCAACACTTTCAGGAAATACTTTTCTTTCTTTTTTGAGACAAGAGTCTGACTCTGTTGCCCAGGCTGGAGTGCAGTGTCATGATCTCGGCTCACTGCAACCTCTGCCTCCCGGGTTCAAGCGATTGTCCTGCCTCAGCTTCCTGAGTAGCTGGGATTACAGGTGTCTGCCACCACGCCTGGCTAATTTTTGTATTTTTAGTAGAGATGGGGGTTTCACCATGCTGGCCAGGCTGGTCTCGAACTCCCCATCTCAGGCAATCTGCCTGCCTCAGCCTCCCAAAGCGCTGGGATTACAGGCGTGAGCCACTGTGCGTGGCTAGGAAATATTTTTCTTTTGTTTGTTTTTTTGTTTTTTTGAGACAGAGTCTCGCTCTGTCGCCAGGCTGGAGTACCATGGCGTGATCTCAGCTCACTGCAACCTCCGCCTCCCAGGTCCAAGCAATTCACCTGCCTCAGCCTCCCAAGTAGCTGGGACAACAGGCATGTGCCATCACATCCAGCTAATTTTTGTATTTTTAGTAGAGACAGAGTTTCACCATGTTGGCCAGGATGGTCTCAAACTCTTGATCTCATAATCCGCCCGCCTTGGCCTCCCAAAGTGCTGGGTTTACAGGTGTGAGCCACTGTGCCCGGCCAGGAAATACTTTTCTTTTCTTTTTTTTTTGAGACGGAGTCTCGCTCTGTCGCCCAAGCTGGAGTGCACTGCCCCATCCTGGCTCACTGCAAGCTCCGCCTCCTGGGTTCACGCCATTCTCCTGCCCCAGCCTTCCGAGTAGCTGGGACTACAGGCGCCCGCCACCGCGCCCGGCTCATTTTTTATATTTTTAGTAGAGACGGGGTTTCACCGTGGTATCGATCTCCTGACCTTGTGATCTGCCCGCCTCGGCCTCCCAAAGTGCTGGGATTACAGGCGTGAGCCACCGCGCCCAGCCAGGAAATACTTTTCTATACCAACTTAAACCCTCTCTTCTTACCATTCAAAACTTTATTTTCTCCGTTTGTCCTTTGAATTAGATATTTGAAGAAAATATGTATTTTAATTGGTAAGTTATTATGATTTATGAAGGGCTCACTGTCACTTGCATCCTTTAAGATTTTAAATAGCAAAAAATTATTGCTTTTCTCAACAGATCAAAAATGGCGATGAGATATACTTACACATATTCAAAATGATGTACATAGCAGATTAGTTATTGCAGTATTGTTTGTAATACCAAAAGATTGCAAAAAACCTAAAGGTCCGCCAATAGAGGACTTGTTAAATAAAACAGGCCAATCCATGTGGTAGTATGTTACACAGTTAAAAAGAATGAAACAGACCTTTATGTTTTGGTGCAGAGGTCTGCAAGGCCATAATCAAGTATGTATTACATATGCTATCATTTGTATTTAAAATACATACATACACATACATATATATAGGATCTATCTATATATGATTTATATCTACAACAGTGGTTGCCTCCTGGTAGGGGAACTAGGTGACTGGGAAATGAACAGAAAAACTAAGGAAGATTTAGTTTTTCCTTGTATATCCTTTGCACCATTTGAATTTTATACTACATTCTTGTGTTATTTTGAAAATAAATGTAAGGTACTAAGGAATAGTTTTTAAAAGGGTGGGCTTTGTGATATTTACCTGAAATAATGCCCTCTCTGATTACTTCCACCTATCCAAATTTTGCCTCTTCTTCAAGACAGATTCCTTTTCTGGATACCTCCAGCTCGAGTGCTTTTATCTGACCTCCTGTGCTAGAAATTACTGTGTGTGGCAAATCATTACACATTGCTTTCTTACAGCTCTTCTATTTTAAAAAATAGTATCTATTTTGTATTAAAATTCCCATTTTTAATTTTCATTTCTGTTTTACTGAACCTTTTGGAGATTGCATGAGGAATACAATCTTGCAAAAGAAGAATGGCTGATGGAGAATGTGACCAAGTAAAAGGCAGAAGGGGGAGTGGGTAAACGGGAAGGAGCATGAGGCTCCCTCCTTGCAGTCAGCCCTCACAGATATTTATCAAATACAGATTCATTGAATTAGTGATCCCTTTTTACAAAATGCTAATGCCCCTGGAAAGGTAAGGCCTTCACATTTTACAAAAATTAATCCAAATATCATGACATCATTTGGCCAAGAATACCTGGGTGTTCTGAGATGAGAGGTTAGGAGAAGTAAAATTTCTGAAGCAGGACTCACAAAATTTTAAAGCCCAAACGGCTTAAAGATCTGTCATTCTAAACCCTTACTTTACAGAAGATGAAACAGGGTCTTGACCGAGATCACAAGGCAAAGTACAGGGAGAGCCCAGACCCAAACTCAAATCTCCTCTTAATTTCAGTCAAGAAACTACATCATTCTAGCCTATCAGAGAAAAGGTCTGGCCTGGGTAAAAGATGGTGTCTTTCTACAGCAAGAAAGATATAGATGGGCTCTGTGCCTGGTGAAGAGGGGAGAGATAACTCAGGAAACAGAAAAGAGGTGACGTCAAGTTTTGCCCCCTTTGTAATTGTGTCCAGAAGTCTGTGACTGTGTGTGTCAATGGAAGTTCTCCATATTAGCAGAAGCCAAGTTAAGATAATCAGAAATAGTTTGGAAGGCCACAAACCTCAACTTCCCCTTACCCAGCCCAGTCTCCTTACTTGAGGAACCAACTGAAGTTCAGCTTACAGCTCTTGTTGATCCTTTCACACCCTTCCTTTCTAAGTCTGGAGAAGGAAAGTTGGAAAAGGGGAACGCAATACAAACATAAGAGATTTCCCTATTTCCAGGGTACTTTCAGCCGATTCCTCAGTTATCAACTGTATTCGAAACACGAGAGAGCCACTTAGGGTAGCCATGGAGATATGACTGTCCTCTGTCTTGTTTCCTTCCTTTTCTCTGCTATTAACATCTTTCGCTACGATTTCGGTAAGGCACCCCACTTCTGCTGGCGCTCAGGTTCTGCAGCTCCTCTCTCTCCTCAGGGACGCTGAGTAGGGATTGGGAACACTTTTTAAAATGAGGAGAGCGCGAAAACATAAGAACGAGTGAGGATTTTCTCCAAAAGAGATCAGTACCATCTACAGCCTCCCCTTCTCCAGCCTTGAGGTTTTGGCGTTTGGTCCCAGCCCGGACTACAAGTCCCAAGAGACCCCGCGGCGAGGGTGTCCTCCAGCGATCCTTCCCTCACGCTTCTGGGTAGTGGAGAGAAAGGTTCCGATAGCAGCGCACTGCGGGTTGGTTTGTTTGCAACGGCAGTGACGGAGGTTGAGAGCCTGGCTGACTGCAGGCGGGGGTGTCAAGAGGCGGATTCCTCCTCCCGTCGGCACTGGGGGGCGGGGAGGAGGGAGGCCGGACCAGCGGCCGGGGACCGAGCCGCAAAGACAGAGCGGGCAGAGGCGATGGAGGGCAACGGGGTGCCATGGGGGAGCGAGCCCGTCTCGGGTCCCGGCCCCGGCCCTGGCGGCGGCGGAATGATCCGCGAGCTGTGCCGGGGCTTCGGCCGCTACCGCCGCTACCTGGGACGGCTGCGACAGAACCTGCGCGAGACCCAGAAGTTCTTCCGCGACATTAAGTGCTCCCACAACCACACTTGTCCCTCCTCCCCCACGAGCGGCGGCGGGGCCGAGCGCGGCCCTGCGGGCGATGTCGCCGAAACCGGGCTGCAGGCGGGTAAGGAGGGCAGCCCGGAGGGAGAGAGGGCAGTAGAGGGAAATCGGAGGGCGGACCGCACCCCTGCCCTGCAAAACAAGCCCGAGAAGAGGCAGGCGGAAAGGGGCAGTCGTGCAGTGTGGCCGGGTCCCCGGGCCTGGGCCGGCCGGATCCGGGATGCCTTGGGAGGGCATCCCTCTGAGGAGGGGAGGAGGGGGCCCGCTGAGGGCCCGGTTGGGGGACCGGGAGCCAGGGGCAACCGAGGGCCGGAGTTCCCGGAGCAGGACCCCAGAGACCGGGGTGTGCGCTGACGGAACTGGGCTGGGCCGGCGTTCGGAAAGGGTACCAGTTAATCCGAGGAGTCGGGAAAGTTGCTCTGAGTTGGAGGCGGGCGGGTGCGCAGTTGTGGGTCAGAGCCCCAGTTTAGGGATGGAGCAGAGGCGGCAGGGTGTCCCGGGAGGCCGTGGGACTGTAGTCGGGTGTGTGGGTTTGATGATGTATGTGAAATGTGTTCACACCAATCATGCGGCAGCTCTGTGAAGAGGGGACATTCTCTAAATAGGGTTGGGGGTGGAAATCATATCTGATGGGTGCCAGGGAATTGCCAGAGATGTTGCTCCTGCTTATGGTGAAGAAGAGAGGGAAGGGATCATTTTGGTCCTGAGCCAATGGAGAACTAGCTACTCTTGTTCTTGCATGATTCTTTCTAGGATGTGCCAAAGGCCCCCAAACACTTAAAATCGTGCATGGTCTTTAATCTTTCCTAACGTCTTGCTTCCTTTTAAACTGCTGTTGGTGGGGAACTGGAGGATTTGTTAACGACTGCGTCTAATTAGGAAATAACTTTAGATCGGAAGGGAGAAGGGACTGGCATTCCATGTAAATAGATCTCTTGGGGACAAAACAGGAAAGAAGTCTGTGGGTTTAATTTAGTGATTCTCAAACTAAAGTGTGCATTAAACGCACCCCAGGGGCGTATTAAGAATGCCATGTCTCATGCTCTAGCTCATTAATTCCGATTGAATAGGTGTGGGAAGTGGGTCCTAAAAATCTAATTTAACATGAAAAGAACGTGGAGAGGACGGGCGCCGTGGCTCACGTCTGTAATCCCAGCACTTTAGGAGGTAGAGGCAGCGGATCACTTGAGGTCAGGAATTCGAGACCAGCCTGGCCAACATGGTGAAACACCATCTGTACCAAAAACTAGCCAGGTGTGGTGGGTGGCGCCTGTAGTCTCAGCCACTCGGGAGGCTGAGGCAGGAGAATCGCTTGAAACCAGGAGGCGGAGGTTGCAGTGAGCCGAGATTGTGCCACTGCACTCCATCCTGTGCAACAGAGTGAGATTCTGTCTCAAAAAATAAAATAATAATAGTAATTATAAAAGACAGTGGGGAATGTGAGGCAGGTGGTCTGTTAAAGTGCCTTCAGAACCATGAATTTAGATACAGCAAATCTGAACACGAGGCTCAGAACTGGATGAATTGTTCTGACTTTGGGTGTTAGCTCTTATATTCCCAAAGTTTTGCGCTTAATGTCCTACATCCGACTGGGAATCCACAAATGGTGATAAAAATAAGATGCTAAGATCATGACAGGGCCCTAAATGATACTATTCCATTTAGTTGGTTTGGATTGGAATTTAAAAAGCCTTATTTTATCTTGTAGCATAAAAGGAGGGGGATTACTAGTTTTTCTGAAGTTGTTTTGACATCTTATGTCCAGAAATACGCTGTCCTGGAATGGACTTGTAGAGAGAACTAGTATCTGTGAGGCTACCAGAAAACAGCTGATGAGAAGGGCTAATGTTTTCTGAGACGATCCCCAGAATGTGTACTTTCACCCGCACCCATAACAGTGCTTTCCAGAGGTGTCCCCTGCTCGAAAGTTTCTCTCACAGCTTATCTTAAAAAGCCCTTTATTGCTGTTTTTATTTTAAAACAACTATTTATTTTAGACTTGGCTTCTAAAACAAAGAGAATCGATTAACCTCAGAGAGATGGAGGTTTTCAAGGCACTTTAGTTGGCTCTTGTTTTTATTCTTTAAAAAACAACTTAAGACATACAAATATAACTTTGCATTTCGCCTCATTAGCTTTTCCAGTTGACTGCATCACGAACTAATCTTTGCGTATTTAACTCTTTTCACCGTGTGGAGTCTGTCCATCCCAAATAAAAACCTGGGAGGGTGCAGATGGCAGGACTGGGAGCAATTCGGTTTTGTTCCATAAAATGCTTCCCTTTCTTTCAGCATGGAGAGTTTGGGGGTAAAAATGCACCAAGAAAAGTTAGTGAGGGGACACTTACTATGTATATTTTAGGGATACATTTTCCTAGCTATTTAGGTGGTCATGTCAGAAAGTAGAAACCACTCCTAAAAAGACAACTAGTTGTTGTTCTGTCGTTTACAGGCCATCTTTGTAAGGTCAAGTTCATTCAGAGACTGTCTCAACTTTCTTTTTTAAATTTTTTTGTAAAGATGGAGTCTCGCTTTGTTGCCCAGGCTGGTCTGAAACTCATGGCCTCAAACGATCCTTCCACCTCAACCTCCCAAGGTGCTGGAATTACAGTAATCAGCCACCACACCCAGTCCTCAACTTTCTTTTGTGAATGTTAGTCTCTGATTAATAGGAACTTGGATGTTGAAGGAACACTCAATTCTTTTATTTATTTATTTTTTATTATACTTTAAGTTCTAGGGTACATGTGCATAACATGCAGGTTTGTTACATATGTATACATGTGCCATGTTGGTGTGCTGCACCCATTAACATATACCTAATGTCATTTACACTGGGTATATCTCCTAATGCTATCCCTCCCCCCTCCCCCCACACCACAACAGGTCCCATTGTGTGATGTTCCCCTTCCTGTGTCCAAGAGGAACACTCAATTCTTACCCAAACAAACCTGTAGGTTTTAAACATTATTTCAGAATGGAAGTGTGCCTCTAGGTTGATGTAGTATGGTATTTGAGCAACTGAAAGAAGATCAGGGATTAACTCTCAATTTGAAATGATTGTACTAAAAGGATGGTAACAATAGTAAAACTATTTTCATGTCCATTTATATACCATTTGTAATGCCATATGATACCAAAAATTTTTATTGTCTCACTTTCACTCACAAAAGAGAGTAAAGGACCCAAAATAATATTTTCCTGTAAAATTTTATAGTTCTGAATTCACTGGGGTCAGTGTAGAGGATATGTAATGTACATGGTATTTTAGAAGTTAAAAAGTAAGGCCGGGTGTGGTGGCTCACACCTGTAATCCCAGCACTTTGGGAGGCCAAGGTGGTAGATCACCTGAAGTCAGGAGTTCAAGACCAGCCTGGCCAACATGGCGAAACCCCATGTCTACTAAAAATACAAAAATTAGCCAGGCATGATGGCGCACGCCTATAATCCCAGCTACTTGGGAGGCTGAAGCAGGAGAATCGCTTAAGCCCAGGAAGCGGAGGTACAGTGAGCTGAGATTGCGCCACTGCACACCGGCCTGGGCGACAGAGCGAGACTTCATCTCAAGAAGAGAAAAAAGAAAAAAAAAGTAAGTAGAATGGAATTCCAAAATGGTCTTCTGTTTTTAGAGTAGTTTGACCTATACAGAGAAAACTGAATTATAAGTAAAGTTTCCTTAATTCATTTCTTCCCCTGCTGCCCAAATCACTGGCCTTTTCACTTAGCTATAGAGCGTGAGAGCCCTTTTATCTGTTGATTTTCTTATGTCAGAGGGATCAGAAGTAATGAGATAAAGGCTTTGGGCTGGGTGTGGTGGCTCACACCTGTAATCCCAGCACTTTGGGATGCTGAGGCAGGCGGATCACCTGAGGTTGGGAGTTGGAGACCAGCCTGACCAACATGGAGAAACCCGTCTCTACTAAAAATCCAAAAAAATTAGCTGGGCATGGTGACACATGCCGGTAATCCCAGCTGCTGGGGAAGGCTGAAGCAGGAGAATCACTTGAATCTGGGAGGTGGAGGTTGTGGTGAGCTGAGGATCAACGCCATTGCACCTCCAGCCTGGGCAACAGAGGGAACCTCTTGTCTCAACAATATAAATAAAATAGAATGAAAGGCTTTGACGCATTCTGAGGAAACGGGCAGGGGTGGACGTATTTACGAGTCTGAGCAAGGGAAGGAGTATTTCTTTCTCTTTTTTTTTTTTTTGGACAGAGTTCCTCTGTATTGTCCCAGGCTGGAGGCCAGTGCATGATCGTTGGCTCACTGCAACCTTCGCTCGTCCCGTCTGTGATTTCCTCTTCGCCTCCTGGAGTAGCGTGGACTCACAGCTGCCTGCCACCAGGCCCCGCGTAGGTTTTTTTTTTTCTTTCTATCTTTTAGTAGAGGCAGGTTTTTACCCATGTTGGCCAGGCTGTGTCTCAAACTCCTGACCTTCACAGTGATCTGCCTGCCTTGGCCGTCCCACAGTGGCTCGTGATATACTGCACTATGAGCCACATGTGGCCGCGCATGGAAAGGTATTTTTCTTGTTTTCGTGATCCAGTAATCAGTTGCTAGCTGTTGAGATTTGTCATAAGGCCTCCGTCAATTTTCAAGATATTGGAGTGGTGGCGGCCCAGCCGCTGGTGGCTCCACGCCTTTAATTCCGCGCACCTTTGGGAGGCCGAGCGGGCTGCTCACCCGAGATCCAGGAGCTGCGAGAACCAGCACCTGGCCAGATGGGTGGTGACCCATCTCTACCTAAAAGTCAAAACATTAGCCAGGCATCATGGCCACGGCTGCTGTAACCCCAGCTACTCGGCTCGAGGCCTGACGGCAGGAGAGATTGCTTGAACCCAGCAGGATGCGGGCGTTGGCAGTGAGTCGGTTCCAGACCCATCTGCACTCCAGCCTGGGCATCGCACGTGGAGACTCTGTTTCAAAAAAAAAAAAAAAAAAAAAAAAGATAGTGGAGTGACTTAAATATGTCTTGTTGAAATTCTGTGGTCTGTGCTGCCTTCTTGGAATCCTGGTTTCACTTCGTCCTAACCAAATGATCTTGGGCAAATCACAACTGTGCTGT